CCTTAATTTGCTGTGTATTACATTCCTCTTGAAGGCAAATAAAGTCAAGAACATCGATTATGATGCGTTTGGAACCAAGACTGGTCGTGTGCATATGACAAGACAGGATTACGGCAAGTTACAAACACGAAAGATGAAAGGATTGAAAAGAAACCAAGAAGACAATGACGATACTATAACTGATAATAAAAGAATAAAAGAATCATGAAATATTCTTTCTTTCGTGTGGTTTGAAAGACTTAACATTGAAAATACGACTAGAAATATTGATTGCTTCAAAATGAATTGAAAGAATGAATAATATAAATAATAATCTGTGAAAAGTTGCAGTGAGATCAGTTTTCAGTGGAGAATCCCCTTCTCCAGGAGCAGATGTCCCTAAAATACTATTTTTTTAAAAATTTAAACATGTTGACTCTCTGTTATTTTCTCCAAGAGCTTAACTCATCGTGGGAGATTACCTAGTTAACAATAATTACAAAGTTTTCTTGAGAAATCTTGAGAAAATAGACAAATAAGGAGGATTTCCCACTGCACGTGTAATATGATTGGTTGTTTGGTACGGTTGATATCAGTATAAGTCGACGCCGTCGTAACACGAGATGCAAAGTCGTTATTGACTTCTGTCGTGAGATATTGAGCTAGAGAAATAAAATCTTGATAAATTTTGCCAAATAATTTTTGGCAAAATTTATCAAGTTCTCAAGTTATACATATTCCTTTGAAATATCAACATGACAACCGCATTACGAAATGGGGCCGTCTCTAGGAAAAGGCATACTGGAATACCTCCTCGCAAGAAGGCGAAAAAGGGGCGATTTCCTCGATTCGTCCTATTACTTGATGATACTTCCAAGAAATCGAAAAGAAACTCGCAGAAATGTAATGCAGAAGAGCAAGATTCTGCACCGCTTGCGTGTAGCATCTGCTTCGACGAACCGGAAAAAGTTTGTGAAGCACTGGGTTTGAGAAGTGACTTTCTGAATGGAGTGCAGTCATTGCCTCAAGACATATTCAATCACAGAGGCCTTAAAGGCTTCGTTAATATCTACATCGAAAACGAATATTTCGAAATCGAGGAACAATCCCTGAAAGTGAAGTTAAGCGAAGAGCAATTAAAACAAGTTGGTTTTACCGATTCCAGTGTAATAAACACCATGATGACACGATCAAAGACGATGAGGCAGCATCTTGATCCTATTGACTTCATCAAACGTTTCGTAAAAGACGAATTCAAGTACAACCCTCTTTTGCGCGCCCCAGAAGATGAGGCCTCCATTCCCAAAGGCACAGGCGTTTTTCATTTTGCTGACTACAGCAATGACGAGCAAAACGAGTACTGTGAAGTTGTTCGTTTATTTCATGGTACAGATCTTCACAGTGCTGTAGACATTATGAAAAATGGTATCAAGCTCGATTTTGGCAGGCACAAGCACGACTTCAGCGATGGTGGCGGGTTCTATCTAACCACTCAGTTTGATCATRCTAAAGCCTGGGCTYKCTGCCAGTCAAGAAAACCCGTGGTGTTAGAACTGAAGATCCCCAAAACCTGCCTTGAAGAAGCACATACTCTGAAGCTGGATGTTTATAACAAGAAAGGGAGATCGGAGTGGGACCGAGTAGTAGAGGAGCAAAGATCAGGAAGACCAAGCAAGAAACTACGACAAGAATTGAAAGAGTATGACTGCATCACGGGGCCGATTTCAGTGGCTCAACAGTCTGACGGCAAAACAATTCGTATACATGTACCAGAGCCTGGTTCTCATCAACTTTGCGTCATCAAGCGAAGCTTCGCAGAANCGTGGGAGATTACCTAGTTAACAATAATTACAAAGTTTTCTTGAGAAATCTTGAGAAAATAGACAAATAAGGAGGATTTCCCACTGCACGTGTAATATGATTGTTTGTTTGGTACTGTTGATATCAGTATAAGTCGACGCCGTCGTAACACGAGATGCAAAGTCGTTATTGACTTCTGTCGTGAGATATTGAGCTAGAGAAATAAAATCTTGATAAATTTTGCCAAATAATTTTTGGCAAAATTTATCAAGTTCTCAAGTTATACATATTCCTTTGAAATATCAACATGACAACCGCATTACGAAATGGGGCCGTCTCTAGGAAAAGGCATACTGGAATACCTCCTCGCAAGAAGGCGAAAAAGGGGCGATTTCCTCGATTCGTCCTATTACTTGATGATACTTCCAAGAAATCGAAAAGAAACTCGCAGAAATGTAATGCAGAAGAGCAAGATTCTGCACCGCTTGCGTGTAGCATCTGCTTCGACGAACCGGAAAAAGTTTGTGAAGCACTGGGTTTGAGAAGTGACTTTCTGAATGGAGTGCAGTCATTGCCTCAAGACATATTCAATCACAGAGGCCTTAAAGGCTTCGTTAATATCTACATCGAAAACGAATATTTCGAAATCGAGGAACAATCCCTGAAAGTGAAGTTAAGCGAAGAGCAATTAAAACAAGTTGGTTTTACCGATTCCAGTGTAATAAACACCATGATGACACGATCAAAGACGATGAGGCAGCATCTTGATCCTATTGACTTCATCAAACGTTTCGTAAAAGACGAATTCAAGTACAACCCTCTTTTGCGCGCCCCAGAAGATGAGGCCTCCATTCCCAAAGGCACAGGCGTTTTTCATTTTGCTGACTACAGCAATGACGAGCAAAACGAGTACTGTGAAGTTGTTCGTTTATTTCATGGAACAGATCTTCACAGTGCTAAAGACATTATGAAGAATGGTATCGAGCTCGATTTTGGCAGGCACAAGCACGACTTCAGCGATGGTGGCGGGTTCTATCTAACCACTCAGTTTGATCATGCTAAAGCCTGGGCTCTCTGCCAGTCAAGAAAACCCGTGGTGTTAGAACTGAAGATCCCCAAAACCTGCCTTGAAGAAGCACGTACTCTGAAGCTGGATGTTTATAACAAGAAAGGGAGATCGGAGTGGGAGCGAGTAGTAGAGGAGCAAAGATCAGGAAGACCAAGCAAGAAACTACGACAAGAATTGAAAGAGTATGACTGCATCACGGGGCCGATTTAACTACGACAAGAATTGAAAGAGTATGACTGCATCACGGGGCCGATTTCAGTGGCTCAACAGTCTGACGGCAAAACAATTCGTATACATGTACCAGAGCCTGGTTCTCATCAACTTTGCGTCATCAAGCGAAGCTTCGCAGAAAAAATTGAAAAGAACGCAAAGTATACATTGTATACTAAGCACCAAGAATGAAGCTTATTTGAACTCTTTTTTTATATGTTTTAAATTCACTTAAATCCACGTTTAATACATTCCCGATGGTACTTTACTATTGAAAACTTTGTTATCCATTTTATCGTTGAAATCTTTAAAACCAGGTATCGTTAAGGAAGACACATATAGTTTACATAACTTTAATAGCCTGCGTTCAGCCGGTATAATTTGTATATATATATATATAGGTTCATGGAGATGGAATGTATTTTCTTTTACACTTCATGAAACTTCAATAGCACCAATTGACAAACAACTGCATTTATGGACAATCATTTAGCGAAAATAGCAGTGATATTTTTAATTATGATTTATTGATTGTAACGCGCTTAGCGCAGAGTGGCTAACAAACCTGTGGCCCTCATTCCATGATCGAATTGGAATTTTGGAGTTGATTTTTGCGGAGGGAGAAAAACCGGAGAACACGGAAAACCCTGGAAGCACAGGAGAGAACCAACAAACAACTCTACTCACATACGACACCGAACCCGGCAGGACTGGGATCCGGGCCGCATTGGTGAGAATATATGCATGTTATTTCACTTATTTACTGCATTCTGCACGACTATGGAAGAGCATTCTAGCTTTGTAATGAAGGGATACCGCGAATACAAATAAAGTTACCATACCACACCACACTGTATGCCATTAATTTTTATATCGTTTGGTATCGTTGGGCTGCAAAAATTTAATATTTACGGATCATTTAGGGAATGATTTAGGAATTCAATCAGTTCGGAAACTTCCCCGGCGTCGTCAGGGAATTTTTTTCGGCCCAGCATTAAAAAAAGAGGGAAAATAATCTAGGAAGGTTTTATTTGCGTACAACCACCGGAATAAAGTTTGAGTTGTCATGAATTCATTCATTGCTTGAATATATACATCATATCAACGAATCTTGACAGCCGCCCATTGAGGATTTTTTAAAAAAATGTCCAGTCTTGGAAATTTTTTTTGAGCCATCCCAATTTAAAGGTTTTTCCGGCTTGGAAATGCTATGTGGTGATTTTTAAATAATCCCACTGAATTAAACTGCTAATATATCGATCATCATGTACAAATAAATTCAAAAATTCAAACAAACTATTACACTTTTTGAGCCATCCCAACTTTGGTATTTTGCTATATGGTGATTATTAATAATTAATGTAATTGAAACTGACAATATGTTTTGGTTAGATCACTATGAACAAATCCATGATCAAACAAACTGTTATATTTTTGAACATGATCTGCTATTCTCATTTGAGGAATGCCATCTTTTTCAGTGGAGCCGGAAATAAGCGAATGAAAGAAACTGTTTTAAAAGTTTGGCCGACCTGCCTCTCTTTTTGATTCTGGCTACTGAGCGAGAGAAAGAAGTTAGTCATAAGATTAAAACGCGACACTACTATTCATAACCAACACAATGACGACTCCCGACAGAAATGTTAATTCGTCACGAACTTCAATCCTAATTTTAAGCTAAACAAAAAGGCTGTAAAACACCTGTCTTAGTTTTCTTCAATTATTCACCGACTAATTATTTCAAATTAAACCACGCAACACGCGCACTCCTAACTAGTTACCGCTAAATATTGTTATTATAAGATCCTAGATGCGCTTTATATGGAAAAAAAAACAAAAACCCATTGGGCAGCTTTTGTTTTGCAATGCCCTTGGCGCATAAGGCGGTCGATTCTCGAGAAATCAATTATTTTTTTCTTGCAAACTAGTTGCCATTGTGTGAGTGTTTGCGTTCATGCAATTTGCAATTTTCTTCGAAATCAGCAAGGAAGTCTTTCGAGAAGCGTCTACACACCCGACCTGCAGCTTCCTTCGCAGTACCCGGCGAACGTGGCAGGTTCAATATATTACTGATATCACCTATCTGCAAAGACTTTAAAATGTCGCTGAAGGTCCATCCCAATAGAGACGCGGTAATGTCTAATGGAACATCGCTCATATCGTCCGTCCTTTACCGTCTCGTATCGCCTTCGAGAAAGGAAGAGACATTGTTTAATTTTTATTTCGTTCTTAGCTTGCTTTGCCAAGTTTTCATTTGTTTTTCTGAAAGCCATTCTCATCGTCTGATGGCCGACATGACCCTCCTCAACATTGCCGGCGGGGCCGTGCTATATCTTTTACTAAAAGTGATCATCTGTGATAAAGATTTCGAGCAAAACAACCTCTGCAGATTTCCATACCAAGAAGGCACTGTGCAAAAATGGTTCAAAGAAAAGGTTATGAGGAAAACTCGTAAAACTGGAACAATTAATATGCTGAACTTACGGAAGAGGTCAGAGACTGCTAAATACACAAGGAATGGAAAAGTTTTCCTGCCTCTTGAAAAAGAGGCGGAAGTTTTTACGATATTGTACCATGGAACAAGTCATCATGAACATGCTAAGAGCATATTAAAGGGAATTCAATTTAAAGGGTCTACACCTGATGGAGACTTTAGTTGTGGAAGGGGATTTTATCTAACTAATCGTTTTGAAAGGGCCGTAGAGTATGCTTTCCCGAAACCGGCAGCAAAAGCGGCAGTGCTTGTTTTTAAGATTCCANTCGGCGCTGGCGACTAGCAAATTAAATGTACAAATCAAATGTTAACTCAGAGTGTAGTGTATAGTCTATCAGTGATGGGTACCCCCTTTGATGGACTTTAACAAATGTAGATGTAGATGAAACTCAGGGTAAACCCTGAGAGGGTAGCACTTAATAGCCAGTGGCTAACAAACCTGTGGCCCTCTTCCATGATGGAATTGGAATTTAGGAGTTGGTTTTTGTGGAGGGAGGAAAACCGGAGAACCCGGAGAAAAACCCTCGAAGCACAGGAGAGAACCAACAAGCTACTCTACTCACATATGAAACAGAGCACGCCGTGGCTCGAACTCGGGTCGCAGTCATGAGAATATATGCATGCTTTCTTACTTATTTACTGCATTCTGCACGATTCTCTGCCTTTGTAATGAAGGGATACCATGGATAAAATAAAGTTACCATACCACACCACACTACACTGTGTACCATTCATTTTTATCGAAGTGTCTAAATGACCTACCCTGGGTGCCAGAGGCCGTGTGGGACACGGCCTCTGGCACCCAGGGTAAAATGACCGGCAGCCGGTCACAGAACTCAAATGACTTAATGACCGGGGTCGCGGTAAAAAGCTGAAACGGAAACAGCTGAAAGAGCTGAAAAGTGCAGAACTTCTTATTATCATAGATAATAATCAGTAGACAAATATTATTAAAGATGATATAATATGAATAATGTCAAACTAAACAAAAATTTTAAAAAATTTAAAAAAATTTAACTGCAGAGATACCAGCCAATGGACCGACCAGCAAGGTCAATGTCTCGCATTCTCTTTACCGAAAAATAAAATTTCTACAGATTAGAAAATGAATAAAATTAAATAAAGTCCATGCACAGAGATTTCTTGTTAWACCTTCTATCGTGCTGCTCAGATTTTGATCCTGGCTAGAATTAAGAGCTTCATTGCCGGACCGCTCGGTGAATGGTCAGCTTTGAAAATATTTCTTTGATACTGAACAGCCA